CCCTCGAGTTTCTTGCCGGCTTGTTGATTGGTAAGCGAGCGGCTGGAAAGGCTTTGTCCTGTCAGTGGGCCTTTAACAAAAGGACTGGGACCAATCACGGTAGTTCTCTCTTTCGGTAAAGTCAGTTTGAAACTGTCAGGCTTTTGCTGGGGAAAAGAAGAGCGGTGAGCGTCTGGTTGCCACCTTAGGGAAGTGAGAAGCCCGAATGAGGTGCAGGAGAGAAAACTTAACTGGGGTGCAGAAGGTACGACAAGGGACCCCTTTCTCATTCCAGACTTTCCTGCATTTAGCATGTATCTTCCCTAAACCTGGAATCTTTTTTTCAGTTTCTTCTTGCACTTCCTCGCAGGCGCAGTTCGCTCGTGGAATTGTTCAGATTGCGTCGAACGAAAGGGCGCCGTTGTAGATGTGCTGACCCACAACTACAGTTACGGGTGGGAGGCATCAGGCTGGGAAGGATGATTTCCTGATCAGGTCAACCTTTTCTTTCTAGATGTAAGCCAATCTATAAGAGCAAGTATAACAAAGCCACGGTTTTCCAGACCCTGAGCACCAACCAGTTCCTATTACAGGTAGTCCTCAACTTAACACCCATTCGTTTAGTGACTGACGGTTTGACATTACAACGGCAGTGAAAAAAATGACTTATGGCCAGTTTTCACACTTAATGATCATTGTAGCAACTTGCTTGTCCCAATGACAGTTCCAGTGTCGTGTGATTTACATTCAGATGCTTTAGGGTGGGTTCATATTTATGACAGTTGCAGAGTTGTTGTGACCATCTTTTGCACCCTTCTGACAAGCAAAGTCGATGAGGAAATCAGATTCATTTGACAGCCATGCTACTATCGTAACAACTGCAGTGAGTCATTGAACAGCTGTGGCAAGAAATGTTGTAAAATGGGGCAAAACTCAGCAACTGTCTTGCCAATGGAAAGTTTGGGCTCAATTGTGGTCATAAGTTGAGGACTACCTATAGTACCAACTGGCACAGCCAAAAACAAATGATGGGACTCTAGTCCAGCTATTCATAAGCATATCATTCTCTGTCTCTGGATATGTGAGTAAGACTAGAAATCCACTTCATTTAAATTGAAATTCTCAGAACACAGTAAGAAAATATTGTATAGTGCAAGTTTGTCACAAGAATATAGTCAGGCATATATGGCTGTATTGATTGCTTGGGGATTTCAAATCCTCAGACAAAATATGCTGTTTGATAATGTATCGATTCATGTGCAGAATGCCTTTGTAGAACCATGACTTTGTTTCACCTGTTGAGACAGTTCCCAAAGTGACCTATCTTACTCAAACACAATTTTCCCTTTTCTCAACTGCCCTTCTTTGACAGAAGTGTTAAGGACATTCATTTAACCTAGTAAAAATGGTTGTCAAATAAGTCAGATTCAAATTTTATTTCAGATAAGCATCAGCATTTATTAATATATTTATAGTTCAGGTAAGATAAAATGAATGCTATAAAGAAATACTGCATCTCAAAAGTCATAAGGAAAAAGGCCCATCTTAATATAAAAATATTTTAAAAATTGTTAACTTAATCAAGTGGCTATCTTTCCATTTTGGTTACTCATCTGAAGCCTGGAAAAAAATGCTAAAAGCTTACTTACAGGGTTGTTATTAATGTAAACATTCTGGATTTGATATTTTTTCAAAGTGCTAGACAAAATGTTTTGTATGATGCCCTTTCTCATTTCTGTACTTGTTTTATATCCATTTTAAACAATATATAGATGATTAGGGTAAAGTTTAAATGAGAGAGAGAGAGAGAGAAGCTGTGGAGGCTGTAGGCTTCTAATTATTCTTGCATTTGAGTAGGGCTTCCTTAAGATCAGTGAGTTAGTCATTTATCAAATGACTAACTCACTGATCTTGTCAAATGAGTTAGTCAAAAATCTGCAGATTTTTCTCCTGGGGTTTAGAGGACGCTCTTTGCAGTGATAGAGCTGGAAAGTACAACTAAATAGAATTCTCCAGATTTCTAGCTTACAGATAATTAGCAATTGAATTGAATTGAATTCTTTATTGTCATTGTATGTATATACACAGTATACATACAATAAAATTCACATAAGATCCAGAGATCAGACTTAATATGCACACACATGACAATCCCCAAACACTTCCCCACCCACCTCCTAAATTCCCCGCCCCTTAAAAACACACAAGCATCCACACAACAGACCAAGTCATACTGTCCAACAGCTCACTGATGATGGTCCTTAAGTTCAGTTTTCGTAGTACCAGCAGGTTTTTGGCTTAGTGGCTAAACATACCATAGAACATTTTTCTGGAGTTTGGTTACTCTGATGTAGCAATAGCAATAGAACTTAGACTTATATACTGCTTTACAGTGCTTTACAGACCTCTCTAAGCAGCTTACAGAGTCAGCATACTGTCCCCAACAATTTGGGTCCTCATTTTACCCACCTCAGAAGGATGGAAGGCTGATTCAATCTTAATGTATAAATTAAGAACAAGGGCTTATTCATCACTAGCAAATCAGATTCAGAAAACAGTTGATTTCCAATTTTTCTTGTCTTGATTTGGAAAACACAAGCCAAACATCCCAGTTAATGATTGCAAGTAAAGTTCAACTTCTGGAACTTTTTACAGGAAGTACTTTAATGCAAGATGTCATCATCTGAAGAGAAAAGTGCAAGTCCTGTTCTACCAAAAGATTCTGATCGAGGTAGTTCTGTCTCTTCTGATCTTCAGGTAGGCCCAAAATGAATGATTTTTTCTTATTTATTTGGAGCTTGTACAATATGTTGTGAATGTCAATATTAAAAAATATTTTATTAGAACCTGCTATTTTTATATCGGAATGACTTTTTTATAAATCCAATTAACTTGAAAATGCAACAGTATAGAAGAAACATAATATAAAAATTAAGCTGTTAAATAAACAAATTCTTAATTGATTATAGATTTTAAATTCACAGTTGCATTACTTAACATGCTAATTATAAATCATGGTTTAAAAACCCATATCCTTAGTGCAGTTAATGAACACAATGAATACTGTGAGAAAAGAGTTTTTAAAAAGGTGTATCCTTTCTCTGCAGAATAAGGTGGTTTTTTTTTCTCTAATAGCTGATCTTAGACAATTACACTTCAGTTGCTGGATGGTCTCTGCTGCCTACCTGCTGCCTCACAATCAATCTTCACACAGGGTTGTTGTTAGGATGAATTATCACCAACTGGGAAACCTAGCTTGCAGTCCACTTATTTTTCTCTGTACTGCTACTATCATAGCTCCTACTAGGTGTGGATACAAGCCAGATGAAAATTAAAACGAACATTTAGGGTTTGCCTTTTCATTTTGTTTGCTTCTAGATTTTCAGCCAAGAATAACAACTGAAGCTAAATTTCAGGCAAGGCTTAGCATTGCCTAGTTGGTCAACAACTGTTGCCTTGGAAGCTTTTCATGTGGCTTTTTTTTTTGAGGCTAGTTCTGCTCATTGTTGACTTGCTAACATTCTTGCCTCTTTCTATTTCAACAGTAATAATGCTGAAATAATATAGGACAATGTAGCTTGTGTATTTTTCCTTCAGTTCATGTCCAGTTCTTAGATGGAAGCAAAGCACATTTGAATGACCTATCTTATTACATATTTGTGTGTGTGCATATACTATTATATCCTGACTATGAGTATGTGTTTCTGTAAGGTATATTTTCCGATATACCCATCATGGTGCTGGAATCTATGTCTACACCTGTTTTTATGTTAACAAAAAGGTGAAAGAGACGAAAATATATCTTATTTTGCCATTAATACATACTTTAGCATGGAAAATAACAATGAAGCATTCATGTAGTTTTCATGCTGGGGAATCTGCTTAAGTGTTCCCTAAGCTTAAAAGAAGCTAAATGAAACTACATAAATATTGACTAGAATTGTAGTCCAAAGCTGAATTCAACCTAAAGGATAAAGTACAGATAATGGTATGTTGTACAAGATTAAACCTAGAATAAAAAAATCACATTATGGCATAGAATAACTTATTTTGAAGCAGCATTTTGAGATATCTATTTTTTCAATTCTCTGCCAACATTTCTGTGATTTTCTGGATTTACTTAAACTGTACTCTCTGTGTGTGTGTTATAATTTAACTGTATGTAATCTAAATTTTATTGTGATGTGTTGGTATAGTATCTCTTAAGGACAATGCAGTTTGGTAATAGGTTGATATAATTCACTCTAGGCAATTACACATTCTGAAGTAACTTCATGAAGATAAAGTTGCACTTGGTTTCAACAATGATGTCAGCCTTTCATAAGTCGAGGACTATCTGAATATAGATGAAATGCAATGTTTTGGATTCAGTTCAAAAAAGGTTCAGAGCATGCATGATAGAATGGGACTACTTGCCACAGCCAACTTGCCATGGCCAACTCAACACGACCAATTCGCTGTGGGACAATTTAACAGTTCTATTTAATTATTTAAAATAAATGAAAAATATTCTAGTTTTTGCAATTCACATTTCATTCTACCCCTCTTTTTGCATCCTTTCCTTAATGGTTCTATTCCACCATTTCTTTGATATGAGTGCAACTCTTGTCCCGCAGTGAGTTGTCCTGCAGCAAGATGGCTGTGGCAAGTTGGCCGATAGTAAATTGGCCATGGTGAATTTTCATAGACTCGATGCATGAGTATAGCAACTCATGCTACTATTATTATTATTTTCTGAACACCTGAACAGAGTTTAAAGAATTGTGATTTGTGCAATACAAATAGGGCTCTATGCATTTTGAGAATAATTAGGAAGAGGTCCTTTAGCGAATATATGTTTAGCACATCTCTGCTATTCATAAAAGTCGTCAATTTTCAGGCTTCTGTGTAAGGCCCCAATACTCCCTGTGGTCTCCCAAATACCCCCAAGAATAACTTTGTTGAGCTTCCAAGCATGAACATAATCACTCTGACATTGTCACCTTTAATAAAAATTATTTCTGAAACAGAAATTATTTCAAGAGTGTTCCTTGCCTTGGTAGTAAGGTATAAAGTAGTGCTATGTTTTCATTTGTTCCTTAAAATAACATTATTTGGAGTCCAGAGACTACACTTTCCTTCAGCTTTTTAAAGTAGCTACTTTGTTTCTTGAGATTATGTAGAGTTCATGATCATAGAGAAAGAATTACAGACAGGAGCTACATAAATTTTCTTCATATTCTGAAACACCACTTTCAAACTATTTTTGAATCTTTGCATATCCTTAATACAGGTAGTCCTTGATTTATGACCCCAATTGAGTCCAAAATTTATATTATTAGGTGAGACATTTGTTAAATGAGTTTTGCCCCATTTTACGACCTTTCTTGCTGCAGTTGTTAAGTTAGTAACATGGTTGTTAAGTGAAACTAGCTTCCCCATTGACTTCGCTTATCAGAAGGTCAGAAAAGCTGATCACATGACCCCAGGATTCTGCAACCGTCATAAATACGAACCAATTGCCAAGCATCTGAATTTTCATCATATAACCGTGGGGATACTGCAATGGTCACAAGTGTGAAAAACAGTCACTTTTTACAGTGCCGTTGTAACTTTGGTCATTAAATGAACTGTAACAAGTTGAGAACTGCTTGTAACGAGTTATGCAATTGTGTTGTTAAACATTTACTTTCACTTAGTAACAAATATTTATCTTTTTGTGCTAGGATGAATATGAAGAATTGCTTCGTTATGCAGTAGTTACCCCTAAATTTGAGCCAAGTGGATTACGACAATCAGATCACATGGAGGTTCATCAGATACCTGCAGGTAACATATTTGAAACAGAGCTTTTTTCAAAGCGTACAGGCTGGCTTATTTTATAAACGAATTAAAGGTGCAAGATGCTGAAATTTGAGAATCCATGGCAAAAATAGGGTTTCTAGTTGAATAGGCTGAAGGCCTTTTTGATTTTGGTATGTGGATTATACGATATAGTTTATTGCTTGAGAGTTATATGTATGCTTTTGACCTAGCCATTACTCTGAACTAGTGAAACCTGCAAAAATTATAGAAAGTTAACTTAAACAAAATCAAGCCCTGGGTTCATCTGCTTCAGTCTCATCTGTGATGATTGACTGAAAGTCTTCAGGATTTGGTGAGTCCAGAAAATTGGAATTTGATGAGTCCTGGTATTTATTCTGAGATATTTTTTTATTTTATCACCCAACTATAGATAGGTCCTTTCCATAACTTAATTACAATATTGTTTTCTCATAACTTCCACGATACTCACAATTTCTATGATCCTATACAATTATTTGTAATTTTCCTTTAGTAAGACATCCAAATTAAGATGTTTTGTTAATTTATAGTAAAATTTACATCAAAAAGGTTTTGTGGCATAGTTTGACAGCTTGTGTATGTCCTGTATTTTTTTACAAATATCCAAGATCATGGGGGTCAAACTCGCATCATGACAGTGGCGTCACATGATGTATCGGGACTTTTTTCCCCTTCGTTAAATTGGGCCAGGTGGGGCCAGCACATGACCCATCCAGCCCACGGGCCACGAGTTTGACACCCCTGTCCTAGATGAAGTATTGTTGGCTAAGCTAGATATATAATTTTTCATATTAAATCACAATGTGAACGTGATAGTTTATTTGCATGACAGATAGATATTTAGTAACTTGCATAAATCAATGTTTTTTAGCCAGCAAATCATTTGTGAGGCATTTCTAAAAGTATCAGTTCTATGAATATCTACTTTTCTCAAATGTTAAACACTACTTTAATTTATCTAATGACATTCAAAATATGTTACATCATTAAAGTTCTAATGTTTGTAGGCACCTTTTGTTTAAAATAACTAGTTATTTTTTTAAAAAATTGCAAAGAAAAGACAAAGTTGGAATAGTTTTCAGTGTCCATACTGGCATAGAATCTAAGATGCAGTAGGCCTTAATAAAATGTTTGTTCCACATATATGGTTGTGTAACATCTGTTGTATACTTCAAATGGACATAATGTTTAACATCAGTTTGACCCATTTCTGCTCTTGGTTCACAATTTAGATTTTCACAAAAAAGAAAACCTATTTGTTTGTACAGGTAATAAAAAATATGCCTAAAGAAAAACACTTCCTCCAAGGAACCTATTCTCTATAAAAACATGTATGTGCATGGTTATTTATTTATTTTGCAGATTTATACAGTTGCCCATCTTAAATCACTCTAGGTGGTTGACAAAAATCTAGATAAAAACATAAAAAATGTGAAACATCCCCAATTGTGACATCTCACAACTAGTGCCAACATAATTCTCTGGAACTATGAAACTCTTTTACCCACAGAAGGTTAGCTTTTTTGGCTGTTATACTCTAAGTGCTATATATATCTGTTATGGAAACAAGTCTTGACTTGGCAATAATATTGTTTCTGTCCACTAGTAAAATAGTAGGAAGGTGATTGCAGATGTCCATTTATAATTAAGGAATCATAACCTGCACCCAAAACAAGTCCCCTAATCTGGAGCTAAAAAGAATTGATTATGACTGACTGTAGAGAAACAGTATGAAATTAGTGACAAAGGTCTTTATTCATTTACATATCTAATGGAAGCAAATGTTCTTTGAGCAAGGGAATTCATGTCTAAATATACTGTGTATAAAAGGATTGTATTCAGGAGGAAGGGAAAGGACAAAGCTGCCACAAATTTTGGCCAGCTCAACCTCTTAGTCCTCCTTAGTTCTCCTTATACTTAAGAAGTTGCTTTTATTATTGTATATTTTAACTCATTTTCTGTTCAAGAAATTTAATTTTTGATACCATTTACCCCACCCAAGCAAAAACCATGTGGCGTCTAGGATGACAAAAGGCAGATGGCCCAAAGCCACCCTGTAAATTTCATGACTGAACCGGGTATTGAAACATATCTTCTTCCAGATCTAGCTTGGTATTTTGATTTCCACACAAACCTAGTTCCCAGATTGTACCAAATTTTTCACTGTTCCCAGTTATTCTCCCCTTCACATTATTGAATCTGCAGACATCTCACATTTATTTGGTGCTTAACATGATTATGAGTAAAATAGAAAATTTTGCATGTTTTGAAAAGGATTCTTAAGTTATGTCAAGTTAATAATAATGTTCCCCATGACTGCATATATGAAAACTTTAGGAATAGAGTGCTGAATGAGGAACTAGCATGGCTGTTGAAATGCAGCTTCTTAATAGCATATTGCAGAAACTCCTAAGATTCAAATAATGGGAAGATTCTAGAATTCTGAGTATTCTAAGAACAATGTCAAGATGTCTTGACACTAATGAGAAAAACAGTATTTTGCAAAGGTGTACTAATCAGCTTCATATTTAAGTCCTAACCTATTATGACAAAATACTGCCAAACATTCCTCTATTTTCTCTCCTCTGAAATCATCTGGAGAGGTAGCTGAAGAGTTGTCAAGTACTAGAGGTAACAATACTTTTCTGCTTTAATGGTGATTTTGAGGACTAATTACCATTCTTCTGGGTGAGTCTAGCACAGTCTTTGTTGGTTAAATACTTGTCCAGAGAAGTTTAGACTGAATCTTCTTAAGTGTAGATGAAACTGTGTAGCCTATGGTGAATGGAAGGCAGAAAATCTTTGTAATAAAATAGGTATTTTGAGAGGACCAACTATAGAAAATCATTATATTCATCCGGTTTGCTACATGTGTTTATTCTAGGTGTTTGGGGGGTTATTTGTTTTTGGAAATGATAGGCTTGAATGCAAAACAGCCTACCATAAAATACATTGACCAAATGTATGTTGTTACATTCAGATATACTAGATGCTCTCTTGTTGATTTTGGTGCCTCTTATGTTTGTGAATGATTCTGGGTGGCGTAGTGTTATCCATCAGTGATAGGTTAGATTCCTAAGAAGGAAAGCCCTATTCCCTTATCAGGCATTTATAATATAAAATGCCATTTGTGCTCCCACACAAATGTATGCGCAGGAAGAGCCATGAAAAGCTTTAAGAATAGAAAGTGAGCAATGCAGATAGGTTGAAAGAAGAAAAAAAGTAGAAAATGATAGTTTCGAAAAGATTCCAGGTAGGTGAGTAGATTGCATTGTAACTGATTATATTTTCAATTTTAGGAAGCCCTTACATCTCAGGGTGTTTTTACCTTTAAAAATGGCTTGGAAAATTGGGATACCATCATGTTTTGCTGCCTGATTTTCTCTGGTACTTTTCATTTCATGAGGTAAATCATAGATTGCAGACCTTCTAGTTGATTGAGCATGTAGAGAAGTTGATACTTTCCAAACTATAAATTGAATAAAACAACAGTTTATGGATTAGATGCAGTGCATTTTGACAGGTGGCTCTAATCGAAAACCTCCCCTTGAATTTAGATTTAAGGATAATTATGTTTAAAAGAAGTTTTGTTTTTTGATGGGGGAAAATCAGAATAAAGTATGCCATGATGTTCGATCTTACATTTGGATGTTTTAGCATTGAAGTTTAATTTCTGCCCTGTATTAATCAATGTCGTTAACTAAATCTCAAAATTTGTAAGGCTACATTAGTTACAGTGCAGCAGTGGCATATGTGTGGCTGTTTTGTATTGCTTCTCCGTAAGGGGCACTTGTGTTTGAGTGAATTTGCCCCAAAGCTTGACTTTCTTCTGAAGTACTTTATCAAACTTGTGATGGTGCTATTATCTATAAACTGGCACTTATCCAAATGGTTTTTAAAAAAACTGCAAAAGACTATTAGAAATATTTTTCAAATAGGAAAGACTAGTTGATTCAGAGTAATCATGTGAGAAATGTCTCACATAATCTTGTATCCCCATTTCATATAAATTTAGTAGATAAAATAAGATACACTTTCCTCATGTAAGTATTGCTACCTGATTGCAGTCTTGCTACTTCTTGCTTCTATTCATACCTGTATTTCACTCTGACTGGAAGTAATAAAAGTCTGTGGGTCTGTTTCCTAGCGTCAAATTCCTTTTATAGCTAGCTTCTCTTCTCTTTGTTTGTATCTATTGATAGGTGGCATAGTTCAGTTAGGTATTACTAATTGCTAGCATTAATATAAAAAAAAGGCTTTGGATCAATGGCGTGAACAGTGCAGAGCTGAGTATTTGATTCTGCCTGTCTAAATATAGCTAGTCTTTTTTATCTGAAATAGGAAAGAGTCCAGGAATGAGTAACTACAGGCATGAAAGTGCAGGAGTGAAATGGAGATGCCATGGAAGAAACCCAGAACTTGCAGCATCTAGCCGAACAACAAGGATAGCAGGTACTAGGATGAGAAAGAGGATAGTCTTAGAGGATAGTTATGTTAGCTCAGGGGCGTCAATCTCAAGGCCCGCAGGCCGAATCCAGCCTGTGAGGTGCTTAGATCCAGCTCACGGGACCAGCCTGGAAATAGCAAAGGACCGGCCTCAGTGCTGCTGCTAGCGAAAATGGGCTGGGCTGCCCCCACACATCCTGTTTTTGGCCTGGATGGCCTCCTGCAACACTCTACCGGCCAAAACTGCCCTTCCACCCATGCCCCGTATTGGCCGGCAGAGTGCTGCAGGAAACCATCCGTTCCATCTTCTCCCCCCCTCCTGTAGCCAGGCCACAGAGGACAACTACAATGCTGATCCAGCCCTCCAAGAAATCCAGTTTGACACCCCTATGTTATCTTAATATATAAGCCTAATCTGATGGTAATTTATTTTAGTTTTTACACACAAATCCTCACAGTTAATAACCTGCTTCTATCCATATACATCTGAATTAATGTATGTCTCTTATACCATACTATATCACTTAAATCAAGTCCACTATGGTCTTCAAGTGTATTTACTTGTAGATGTGTACAATTATTATCTAGTTATAAGTTACCTCTTTATTCAAAAGTAGCTTCTTTAATGAATATGAAGCTTTTAAAAATAAGTACAATATTCTTCAATATCCTTCCCCTTTTAAAAGAAAGGAAAAATAGCACTAAAGAAGCTTATTACATATATAACTTTTTTATTCCATAACACATATGTAAATAATAGGAAGAGTTGGAAGGAACCTTGGAGATCTTCTAGTCCACCCCTCTGTTCAGGCAGGAAACCCTATACCATTTCAGATAAATGGTTGTCCAATCTCTTAACCTCCAGTGTTGGAGCACACACAACTTCTGGAGGCAAGTTGTTCCACTGATTAATTGTTCTAACTGTCAGAAAATTCCTCCTTAATTCTAGGTATTTTCTCTCCTTGATTAGTTTCCATCCATTGCTTCTTGTCCTGCCTTCAGGTACTTTGGAGAATAGGTTGACACACACCCCCTAGATATTGATATTAAATAAATATACACATATTACTATTGCTCTCCTTTTTGTCAGAATTTAAAAGACATTTCTCTAACCCAACACAAATCATATATTTAAAGAGAGAACATCAAACAAAAAGATGTATATTATTTACAGAAACTGCCAGAGGTTAAAATGTATTACTTTTTTTTAAGAGTTACTGTTATTTAAAATAATTGGAACCATTCATGTTAAAATCTGCTATAGCAAAAAGAATATTTTTAGCCCATTAAAGATTAGCAAATTTGTTGTAGTTTAAGTCGGTAAGAAGCCACAAGATAGCATTGGGCTTTTGTAGAAGCATTGGTTTTTCTACACACTTTTGTTTTCAATTTATATTCTGTAAATCCAGCAAATCTAGTACAGTAATACAATATTAGAGACATAGTTAGTTTTCTGTTTTTAAAGTTTCAGCTTCAGTAAAGGAGTCAGCTCCTATGAATATGGAAGGACTTTGCCCAATCCGTTCAGAAGAAACTTCTTCACCAGGGTCCTCATCTTGTCAAAGAGATCTTCAAGGGACATACGTAACTGACATGAGCCTTTCAGATGATAGAGTGACCCACATAGAGAGCATTCTTGACCTATGGAGTGGCAGCCTTAAAGTAGGTAATTTGTTTACTATATGTTAAATTCTACTGTGGATAACCTGGTTCATTGTATCTTATTTTCCTCAGTCTTTTTTCTGGAATATTATAACCTCAAAAAAGTCTCCTTTGACTATGTTCCTATGCCATTGTGTGTGTGTATATGTGTATTTGTTTTCTGAGGTTTTTGCGGGTATTTGTATGTGGATCTTTGGTTATTCGGGTTTTCTCCTGCGTAAAATTGAAAGTATCTTGGTGACGTTTTGATGAACAGGACATGAGATTGACTTTAAAAATACCAGAACTATCTCCAAAACTGAACACTTCAACAACAGAATAATCAGAGAAGCCATAGAGATAGAAAAATGCCCACATAGCATGAATAAATGAGACGATACCTCCCGCCGACCAGCCTTTTGGGAACCCGCCCTCCTTAACAAATGAGTACCTAACATGAAGAATGACACCAGATTCACACTCACAAGGGCCACACAAGATGCTACCACCACACTTCCATGTAGAAAGCAGACTCACACCCACACAGATGCTGAGACATGATCACGGACCAGAAGCCGTACCGCAGCTACATCACTACCCGCTTCAAACCCCTCCGACCCATACATGAAGCGAACGGACGCCCACTAGGAAGATGTGGCACGACCACGAACGCAAAGCCAAACAACAGGATCACAGCTCACCAGCTCAAATCCCCTGGCAAGTAGGACTAACCTGAGCACAACCAAGCCCCCACCTGAACAGAACACACACCCAGCCAATCAGAACACAGCCAAACCCCCAACCAATCAGAACACCCCCCCACCCAATCAGAACACAGCCAAGCCCCCACCCATTCAAGTCACACCCCCACCCCAGTTAAAAGGAAGAAGCAGCTGCAAGCTCACATTACTCCGAGAAACACAAAGCCGAAGACACAAGCCTGAAGATGATGAATGAGACTTCGTCGAAACGTCGCCAAGATACTTCCAATTTTACGTGGGAGAAAACCTGAATAACCAAAGATCCATATATAAATATAAATATATCTTTAAAAATCAAAGTTAATATATTTATGTTTAAATTTAAAGTTAGGTATAAATGGGTTTAAATGTTGCTGAGATCTCATATGACGGATCACAATCTGATTCTTTTAAATAGCAAAAAAATAATTCAGGCTATATGAGATATAGAACAAGGAGGGAGAAGCTACATAACATTTCTCCATCGATTGCAGTTGTGTGCAAAATTGTTGATCTAAGGCTAGGAGATAAAACGGTTTTAATATCTTTATTTTGCAGATATTAGAAAAATGCCATTGAATGAGAATTTGAAATCTCCCTTCTACTTTAATAAATATATACATAGGATATGACAAGTTTTCAAATAACATGTTTTTGTACTAGAATTTTTAAAAACTATTCTCAACTTTTATAAGTGGATATGTCCATCCTTGAAGAAAATCCCAAAATACTTTATTAATACTTTATTAATTTATTGCTGTGTATAATATTCCCACCTAAACCCTAACTACATCTTGCTTAAAAACAAATACTTTCTATTTTCAGAAAATAATATTTTATTTAACCTAACAAATTTTTCAGGCTATTCTTTTTTTTAACTAAGCACAGACAATTATGGAAAATATTATTTTAAAGAATGTTGCTATTTAATTGTCATTCATCTTGTTTTAGGACCTAAATATGTTATTTGAATACTTTCCTCACAAACTACTTGCCAGAAGAAGGCAAAGAACTATATCAGGGGTTTTTTTGCATATTCCTTAGATAGCAGTGATAATATCTGTCATGGAAAGTTTCTCAAAATTTCAGGTTCAGCACTGAATATGTGTTATGTTTTACTAAAAAAACATTTGTGTCCTTAGTCTTTAAAAGCTCAGACAGCCTTTAAAAACTCAGTCTGATCTTTATTTCTCTACTAAACAACTCCTTCACTTCTTTTAAGACTAATGTTTTGACTGAGCTGAGGAAATGGAAACTTCATTTTATTGAACATCATACCTTAGAGATGAGACAAGAAAGAGAAAAGCATGCAGCTGATATGAGACAATTGACTAATCAGATGGAGAACTTGAAGGAATTGCTACATACATACGAGATTTCCTTAGGGAGAAAGGATGAGGTAACAAGTTCTAATTTACAGGAGGAAATTTTACATGGTCCTCATTTTCCTTATTGGTTGCTGTTAAGAATTGCCTTTGCAGCAAATAATTGTTTGGAGAGCAATATTTCTCTATCCCTGGACTATGTGCTTAATTTTAATGACCAAGTTCAAATGAATTAATTGTATAGTTAATGTTCTTTATGCATTTTCTAATTTCTTTTTGTTCAGGTAATTGCAAATCTAACAAATGCAATTGAGAAACAAAAGGACAGGATAGAGTTAATGAAAAAATTTGCAAAATGGCGACTTCAGCATTTTTTGGGCAAACAAAAGGCCAGAGAAGAGGTATATATGGATTTGCTCGTGTTAATCAAGCTTTTTCTAAAAAAAATTCCATTTGAAAAACTATATTTTTTAAAAAACTGATAAAATCAACAGTTTTATATGGAATCCTTCATCTTCTTTTTTCTATAAATAATCTGTCACAGTAAACTGCATTTGCATTCTAAAAATGATGTTTTGCACTTTAGGATCACATTATATCTGTTTAGAATTGTTACAATCATCCCATGAATATAAAAAGTGTTACAACATTATTCATCCCTTCTGGTTTATAATGCCAACAAAGCATAAGATCTATATTTTAACATGGTCAATGTCAGTTCAAGCTTTTGTTTGATTTCATGCTGAAAGTTAGGGTTTGTTTATAATTGTATTATAGTTTATACAGTATAAAAATGTTTTACTAATACTGCAGTATATACTTAATACTTTTTATACTCTTCATCAAATTTTGGTATGGTACAACTATAGCACAGGTAGAGTCCTGTTTTGGGAAGAGTTAAATAAAGTGTAGTGAAACTCAGGCCTGCTTTGCTGACATTCCTTTCCAGTTGTACGCAAACAAACTGGCTGATCGGCTGTATAAATTAGGCTTGTTGAAGAAAGCCTGGGCGATTTGGCGATCCCGCTTTAATGCAAAAGAGAAAGAAAGAATGGAAAAGGCAGTTCAGTCAAGTGTGGAATCAGTGCATGCGGCACTCAGCAATGAGTATGAAGCCAAACTTCAAACGGTAAGGAGTTTGGAATATTTGAGAATGTTTAGCTTTGAGGAAAGAAGTTGGATATGATAGCACTTGAGGGTGTTATCTAAATTAAACAAAAATTGGTTTTGAGTTGCTCGACTTCTGGTTTGAAGGGCTTCGGCAACAGACAGAAATCTGCGATCGTGCGCGGTTTCTGTCTGGGCTCACCGCTGGAGCACCCCAAGCTGGCTGGTTTCGGGGCTAAGCCACCCTGTAGAGGTGGTGAAGAGGGGGGAGACCGCCAGCAGGGTCGAGGAGAGCCGCATCTCTCCTCCTCAGCTGGCCATTACTCCCTTTACCGAAGCCGGTTGCAGCGGTGGTCAGAAATGGCCACCACAAAGAAGAACTCGACCGGAAAAGAATGTGCAGGAGGAAGATAAGAAGTGAAAGTTTTGGCTGACTGGGTTAAATTGTAAAAGCAACAACCAAGGTACCCTGGAATTTAAACTTACAAAAAATAACATCGCTCCCAAAGAAGAGTCGGAAGCAGCGAAGGAAAGGGAAAAGGGAAAGGTTTGGCTTTTTTCCCCCTTTTCTCTCCTTCCCTATACTGACAACTAAGAGACCTAAATAAGAAATCGGAAAAATCCGCTTTGACATCAATAGGCAATTAAGCTGAAAATAAAACAAAATGCCAAAGGGATAATAAAGATTTCTGAACATTAAAAACTTTCTTTTTCATAAGCAGGAAGGGAGAGAAAAAGAATAAGGGCAGGATCTGGAAGAGGGAGGAGACTGCCTGGAATTAAAAAGAATCTAAAGTAAAACTTCAACAAGACTTCTAAAAGATACATTTTAACTGAAACTTTGCAACTAAATAGTAACCCCAGGAAGAGAAAGTGAAAAAGAAAGAGCAAAAAAGAAACAGCTTGCGCGTATTTGGATTATTTGGTGATCTTTGGATTTTTGGTTTTTATATATGAATGACTAAAATCAATTGGGTGGTTGTTTAAAAATTTATACAATGGCACCACTTCTGGATGAATTGAAAATGGAACTTAAAAAGTACAAAGAAGATGCACAAGAAGGGAAGGGTTCTTTTGGCTTTGTCTTTCAATTCTTAGAAATGGAAATTTGGAACTATGAGAAACAACAAGAAAAGACTGCAAAACAAGAAGACTGGGACAAAGAAGAAGCCATCTTTAATGAACAAGTAATTCTATGTGGGGAAGAAAAAAGAAAGGGGGGAAAGAGAATGGAGAATTTAAGACTTAAAAAAGCAACCAAAGAAAAGAAAAATAATTCGAAAAATAAGTATAATACTGGAAAGCAACAGAAAAGGGGAATACAGAAGAGAGAAATAGAGGTAGAGAGACAAGGGGGTAAAAGGGGGAGAGAGAAGAAGAAAGGGAAGAAGGAAATGAAAAGAAATTACAAAGGACCGGAGCAAGATATAGAGAAACAGGACCTATTTAGAGATAATGGGTGAAAATCTAACTGAAAAAGGGATTCTGTAAAGGTACATAAGATTGTATTGTTATATTAGTAATAGAAATAACTTTAGAAAATTGGAAACAACGTATGATTAAAATGAGGGATAAAATAGTTAGTGTAATTTAGTGAAATGTTTGTGAATAAAATAAGTGAAATAAAATAAATGAGAAAATTGAATTAGGAAGGAACGGGAACATTTTAATTAGTCAATGTTTTATAAAATATAAGTGAAGGGGGGGAATTAACTATGGAAAGTTTATAATTGTTCCCATAGAAGTATGATATTTAATTGAAAAGTAATGTTAAAGATGTTAAGACTTTAATGAATATTAATATTAATGATAGAATTGAATTTGAATGGAATGTTGTTTTAATTATATACATTTATAATTTTTTTTCTTTTTTTAAGAATGCAGTGTGTATTTTAAGAATGTACCAAGCAGAATCCGAATGGAAGTTATGTATCATATTGAATGTTACAACTTTAGGGAAAAGATATAAAGGCGTCATACTCCAATCAGTAACTACAGGAGAAATTTTGTTTAATGAGAAAAGATAAGAGATAATTGAAACAGGACAGACAAAAAATATAAATACAGTGATCTGAATTGAGATGAGATAATTAAAATAAAATTGAGAAAATTAAAAGAGGGGACAAGCTATGCAGAAAATGTAAAATAGTAATAAGATATGGAATAGAATATAAAAATGAGCATGAACCTGAATTTGTATCTGTACGAAGAAATGTAACCCGGGATTATGCTGCTTTCAAAAAAGATGTTTTATTTGTATTTTTTTTCTCTTTGTGAAAACTCAAATAAAATTTACAAAAAAAAATTGGTTTTGACAATATTTCACTTTAGGAGAAAGGACCTATAGGATTTACTTCCAGGAAAATTTAAATAGGATTATTGTAGGCAAAGGTGACATTTTGATTATCTGCTCCATAAAGTACAGCAAAAGGACAAGGAAACAGTAAGCAACCTAAACTTCTGGCTTCCTTTTGAGTGCAAGACTGAGTCTCTTTCCCAAGTGGGAAAGGATATACAGTTTTGGGAAGGAGCCATTCTGCTTGAACTCATCCCATTTACCATTGTAGTCACACCATTACTGTAATATACATAATGTCTCTTTCTTTTTTAAAAACATTGAAGATTGTACCCTTCCCTTACAGCAGTCAAGAAACAAAAAAATATTGTGGAATCAGTACTGATTCCATTTTACTTCTTTCTTTTATTTAAAGGAGCCCCAATTAACTGCAGTTTACTCTCACCTCAAGTTTTTATCAAATCTGCTATGAGATTGTCATTAATTAAAAAAAAAATTATTTCTTGGTTCAGGTAAATAGTGCACTTGAGGAGGCCAGATCTGAAATTATTGAACTGCAGAACCAAAGACAAGATTATGAAGATGCTATGAAGAAGGCTTTCATGCGGGGTGTCTGCGCACTGAATTTAGAGGCAATGAGCATGTTCCAGAGCAAAGATTTCAAACTTGACCAGGGTTAGTATTATGAGGCGAGTGAAAGATCGTTAGCATGCTGGCCTTATGTCAGCGAGTAATCTCTGCTGATTTCCCTAAGGTGGTGCTCTTCAGATGTGATAGGATAACAGTGCCTAGAATTCCTCAGCAAGTTGAAAAGGCTGAACTGATGTAAATTTTTCAGGTTTTCTAACCATAAAAAGTACAGTACTTTTCTGGAGGATTAACAGTATTGCCTTGGGGTTAAGAGGCCATTGAAAGAAATAGGCATATATAAGGTATATTCTAAGTTTCACTTTTGTGCTAGAAATAAATGGATTTTAAAAATTTTGCGGGATGTATCTGTAGAGAATTGTAACTTCCACAAATAATAATGAGAGACCAAATCAATACTTTGTCCCCTTTTTAAAAACTATTTTATCACCTTTTGCTTTCTTGAAAGAAAAAAGTGTTTCTATCTCAGTTCCAAAGGAATTACATTATTTTCAAGTATATTGAATTTTTTGATAGATTTGTGACTGAGTTTATTATGCCCTCAGCATAATTCTACATACTTCTGACTTTCTCCTTCAAGAACTGAACACTTGGCGTGCTATGGCTTAGGGGATGCTTTTAGCTTTTTTTTTTCTTTCCTATTTTGAAATGTGAAACCAGTCCCCACCTGGCCCAGCAGTCAGGCCCAGCATGGTGCAAAAGAGTGATTTGGTACGCTGAGGCTCAGGGGCTGCTTTTAGCTTTTCTATTCTATTTTGCAGTGCGAAGTCAGCTTCAGCCTGGCCCATCAGTTAGATCAAGCGTATTTCGTCAGCAGCAGGAGCAAGTAAACAGTGAAGGTCAGCTGGGCTGATGGAATGAAGGGCTGCGTGGGTGTTAAAGTGTAGGATGGCAAAAAGGTGCTTTGGTACACTGAGGCTCAGGCTGTTTTTAGCCTTTCTATTCTTTTAAATTTTTATTTTTTGGCAGTGCGAAGTCAGCTTCAGCCTGGCTCATTAATCAGATCAAGCATGTTTCGTCAGCAGCAGGAGCAAGTCAATGATGAAGGTCAGCTGAGCTGATGCAACCACAGGGGTCTTCAAGTGTAGGGTGGCAAAAAAGCACTTTGGTGCACTGAGCCTCACACGCCGCTTTTCACTTTTTCTTTCTTGCAGGGAGAAATCAGCTTCATTCAGGCCCATCAACCAGATCGAGCGTGTTTCGTCAGCAGCAGGAGCAAGTCGATGGTGAAGGTCAGCTAGGTTGATGGGACACAAGGCTGCAGGGGTCTTGGAGTGTAGGGTGTCAAAAAGGTGATTCGGTACAGTGAGGCTCATAGGCTGCTTTTCACTTTTCTTTCACTTTCTGCAGGGAGAAATCCACTTCATCCCGGCCCATTAAGCAGACCGAGTATGTTTCAGCAGCAGCAGCAGCAGCAGGAGCAAGTTAACGGTGAAGGTCGGCTCAGTTGATGGAACGCAGGGCTGCAGGGGGCTCGGAGTGAAGAGTGGCAAAAAATGTCCTTTGGTGCACTGGAGCTTCGAGGCTGCTTTTAGCTTTTCTTTCACTTTCTGCAGGGAGAAATCCGCTTCATCCTGGCCCATTAAGCAGACCGAGTATGTTTCAGCAGCAGCAGCAGGAACAAGTAAACGGTGAAGGTCAGCTGAGTTGATGGGATGCAAGGCTGCAGGGGTCTTGGAGTGTAAGGTGGCAAAAAAAAAACTTGTTTTGGTGCACTGAGGCTCATAGGCTGCTTTTCGCTTTTCTTTGTTGCAGGGAGAAATCAGCTTCATTCAGGCCCATCAACCAGATCGAGCGTGTTTCGTCAGCAGCAGGAGCAAGTAGACGGTGAAGGTCAGCTAGGTTGATGGGACGCAAGGCTGCAGGGGTCTTGGAGTGGGGGGTGGCTCGGTGGTTTGGTGCACTGAGGCTCATAGGCTGATTTTAGCTTTTCTTTTACTTTTTGCAGGGCGAAATCAGCAAAATCCTGGCCCATCAAACAGATCGAACATGTTTCGTCAGCAACAGGAGCAAGTCGACGGTGACGGTCAGTTGGACTGATGGGACGCAAGGCTGCTTGGAGCGTAAGGTGGCAAAAAAAACTCGATTTGGTGCACTGAGTCTCATAGGCTGCTTTTCACTTTTCTTTTTTGCAGGGAGAAATCAGCTTCATCCCGGCCCATTAAACAGACCGAGCATGTTTCATCAGCAGCAGCAGGAGCAAGTTAACGGTGAAGGTCAGCTGGGTTGATGGAACGCAGGGCTGCAGGGGTCTTGGAGTGTAAGGTGGCAAAAAAAGTCTTTTGGTGCACTGAAGCTCCTACGCTGGTTTTAGCTTTTTTTTCTTTGTTTCTCTTTTTTTTGCAGGGAGAAATCCGGTTCAGCCTGGCCCATCGGTTAGGTCAAGCATGGTTCAGCAGCAGCAGCAGGAGCAAGTAGACGGTGAAGGTCAGCTGGGTCGACGGAACCCAGGGCTGCAGGGATCTTGGAGCGTAGGGTGGCCAAAAAAGCACTGAGGCTCGGGATGCTTTTAGCTTTTCTTTTTTGCAGGGCGAAGTCAGCTTCATCCTGGCCCACCACCCAGACCGAACATCTTTCGTCAGCAGCAGGAGCAAGAAGATGGTGAAGGTCAGCTGGGCTGGTGGAATGCAGGGGGTCTTAAGAGCAGAGGGGCGGCCAGGGAGACTGAGCTAAGGCAGCTGCAGCTTCCTGGAGTGTGTGGCAAGGAGCCCCAGAGCCACATGGTTTGGAAGCGGCAGGTTGACCAAAGAGGCAGATGGGGAATTTGGAGACAGTTATTTCCCTTCCTGAGTCTCGGGGCTAAGTGGGATCAAGCTCAGAAAAGCTTACATTGGAGCCCATATTTTGAATCAGTGCTTTTCTTTTTTATTTCTCTTCCTAAGCGAAGGCTTTTTTTTAAAAAAAAAAACTGAAATTATTGTTTGACCACAGGATGGCACTCCAATACTTCGTAACATTCAGTGGCAAGAATTCAACAGGTGTATATGGGTAGTTTTCAATTAAAGATCTCACCTGGGATTGAATTTTTGTCACAAAGCAATGTGATAGTTATACAAATATCATGTGATCGGAATCACATCATTAAGTGGATCACACAGTTGTTGCCCTAATTGATTGGCTTGTCAATTCACAGTCACCCGAGACATCATAAATACAAGCTGTTTGCCAAGCATCACGAGATTGTCATGGTGTTGCAATGGTTGCGATTTGGAAGACAGGTCATAAGTTACTTTTTCTGAGACCATCTTGACTTCAAACCACCGTTAAACAGCCACAAGCAGAGGACTATTTGTAAATGTTTGTGAACATGGAGACTCCTGCTTTCATTAAGTCCATGCCTCAGGGCTACTTATTAATGATAGCAGCCCCATATTTTACTGTGTCTTTACACATATGCCATAGCTGATGCCAGAAGAATAAGAAATACCTTAAGAGAGACATTTGTTACCATCAAACATCCTACTTGGTGGGAAAAGACACTTTGTAGACAGAACTTGAACAGAAGATTATCTTCGTCTCCATAAATTTCAAAGAATCCTATGGGACTGAAATGCTCATATCACTATGTATAGTTTAGCCCTAGATTTCTAATTGCTGGAGCATGGAGTAACGTAAAGCTTTTTGAGGAATTAATCCTCTGGAAGCTTGGCTGATTTGCATGATCCATTAAGCCCAGACGATGTCGTTTGTCCTAAATCTGTTTTATTTTTTTATTTTTTTATTGAACAAATTTATATGGCTGCCCATCTCATATACAGCTCTGGGCGGCTTACAACATTACACGTTGTAATTTTGCAATGTTACTGTTTGCTAATATTAATTTGGCAATGCTGTAAACCACTATGATCTTTTGAATTTGGATCTGATAGTCTGTTAAGTGTCTTATTAGATAAACAGAGTTGGAAGGGACCTTGTAGGTCATCTAAATCCAACCCCCCTTCCCCTGCCCAAGCAGGAGACCCTACCCCATTTCTGACAAATGGCAGTCCAATCTCTTCTTCAAAGTCTCAAGTGATGGACAGATAGTCCTTGATTTACAACTGTCCATTTAGTGACCAAAGTTAGAATAGCACTGAAAAAAGTGACTTTTGACCGTTCGTCACACTTTTGACCACTGCAGCATCCCATGGCCATGTAATCAAAATTCAGATGCTTGGCAACTGGTTTGTACTTATGACAGTTGCAGTGTCATAAGTGTGATCAACTTTTGCAACCTTTTGACAAGTAAAATCAATGGGGAAGCCAGATTTACTTAACAACCGTATTATTAACAACTGTGGCAAGAAAGATTATAAAATGGGGCAAAAGTCACTTAACAAATGTCTCAGTTAACATAAATTTTGGGCTCAGTTGTGATCATAAGTCAAGGACTACATATACTGCAATATGTTGAATGGCACCTTTATAAAACGTATGTGATTTATGTCCTTACATTCCTTCCTACATAAAAGTTTTGCATTCTCAGGAATAGCCTTTCCTTGATCTTTCAATAAATATTGAGCAGTGCTTCCTTTTCTTTTTAATCTCAAATATATCTCAACTGGAAAGAAGTTGTATTGAATCTTAAATCTTCTCCATGAAACAAAACCATAGCATTTTTAACCCTGGCCACTCATGTGTATGTCCCTGCCTTTAGGCCAGATCAGTTCCCTCCTGCCCAACAGCTGCCCCTCAAAACTGTTTATATTTGTGTTTGTGAAGAACAAATTCTGTATCAAAATGACAAAATTAAAAACATAACAAAAAGGAGGTGAAATACAACACAAATACATAAATGCATACAGATGCTGTTTTGTTTTCTCTAATATGCAGTCTATAGAAAAAATTAAAATGTCTTTATAATTTGTGCCCAAACCTCTCACTATGGTAGGAAAATGACTTTTTCAATTTAAATATACGTTTAAAAACTATTCGGATTTGATTAGCTTCCAACTGTACTGGATCAGAGAGCAAAATCTATATATATTCTGTCTATTGATTTATTTTAAAATTTACAGTCACTCAATCTTATCATCTTACCACAGGGTAACTCTTCCCCTATATTGAATTGAGATTATGGTCCTTCTTGGCAAAGACCTAGTAAGGTTAGCTATTAAACCTTAGAACTTCTCTGAATAAACTATCATGTACAAAGGTAATAGATAATTTTAAGACAGCCACCATATCATATTAAATAAATACTGTAGGGCTATTTTTAAATTAAGATGGCAACAAATAGGGCTGACTCTATGTAAGTCTCTACATTGGGAAATACAAATTATACAGCTTTTAAAAATTGTATACGACTCTGCACTTTCCAGTTTTGTTTGTAAATTATACAGATACATAGTTACGTAACAGAATTAGATATATACTGTCTAACTATTAGCAATATTTATCTCTTTGTTATTTTGTTAAGTTCTGAATGTTTGTTAATTTGTTTATAGCAGTTGATCCATCAGAAAAAAGAGCAGAATCTGGTGCTGGCACTGGTGGACCTACAGCAAAATTTTCTTCATTTCAGTATGATCAACCTATGCCATCTACTTCCTCACTGCCGCAACCACCACCTCATTTTGCTCCAACAACAGCTGGCTGTACTCCTGCAGAAGATCTGGTAGGTGTTCACTGTAATACAACCTTGGTCAGTAGCAGATTTCAATTCCATTGAATTAATCTTAGGAAAGTTTAATAAATGAGGATAAGTTATTAAATCAGCATTACAGAGCTACTGGGTGTGAAAATCAAGGCAATATGCTGATATTAATATTTTGAATTAGGAAATGGGTGGTATGTATTCAATCTAAATCAGACTATTGCCATTTTTTCCTGCTGTTTTGCAGTTTTCTTCTCACCAAGGCCATGCAATAACATCTCAAACCAGATTAGACTCTGCTGCTGCATTAACCTGCAGTGCTGCTACAGGATCAGGATCGGGCACAATGTGCATTTCAAAACTGGTAAAAAACAACAACAACCACCAACATTACTTTAATTGTTTTCAACTATTTTTGTTCTCCACATGATTAATGGGAAATTTTTATATAGTGCTCATTGGAACTGGAACTTCAAAATATAGATAGATAGATAGATAGATAGATAGATAGATGATAGATAGATAGATAGATAGATAGATAGATAGATAGATAGATAGATAGATAGATAGATCTGGAACCTACAAGTTTAATTAAAATGTCATACTTCATTTTTATGCCATTTTTCAATCAAAGTTGAGGATAGATTCAAGTGTGTGAAAATACTAAGTGACCATTCATGTGGTCTTCGGCATATGATAGCAATTGGGACTGGAATTTCCATTGCTAAGCAATGCAGTCACAATGTGCAACTGCATCTCTAAGCTACGGCAATCTTTGCAGTCCTGGTTGCTGTTGCTAACTGAATGCCATGGTTGTTAGGCAAGGCAAATTCCTGTCAGCTTTCCACAACCAAAGTCATTGGGGAAGCCAGCAGGAAGTTGCAAATCCCAAGCAGACAGGTTCATGGCTTCTGCCAGATGGAGAAGTTAAAGATGAGGTGTGAGAAGAATGTGCCAAGGGTGTGGTGTGGGTTGGGAAGGATGCATGGGATTGTGGCACAAATCAAGGTTACACAAAGGTGTGGCATGGTTTGGGGAGAGTGCAGCACAAGTCAGGGAGTGGGTGTCGCATGGTGGTGAATGGCCAGTGCAGCATGAATGCAGAGAAGAGAAGAAGAGGATGTACATGTGGAGGAGACTTACTCCAGGGACATGTGACTTTCCCTGCCAGCTTTGCCTATTGATTTTCTGAGAAGCCAGAAGAGAAGGTTGCAAATAGTGATTACGTGATTGCAATGCGCTGCAACTGGCTATAAGTCCAAATCAGTTGCTAAGCTCCAAATTATGGTCACATGATCATGGAGGGGTCCTGGGATTGCTGGAACTAACCACCATTTGCTCAGCACCATCTTAACTTCAGTCACTGAATGAGTGATCATAGGTGAAGGATTACCTACATGGCCATTTTCCTACATCCGTCAGTTCTTGCAATAGGGGAAGACAAAAAAAATGCCTGTTGTTAAATCACTGGTGTTGACTCAACAACAGTTTCCTTGTATTATCAGGTAATCAATGATTATGAAACGATTTAATGCAATCCTTTCTATGAAATATTTGGAATCTCTCAAAAGTGAAATTCTAGACAAGAAATTAGATCGATGAACTGCTTCAAACAATGATAAGGAAAAGGACCCTGAAGGCGTGAATGTCTCTGAAATATTTACTTTTGGTGAAGAGAGCACCAGAAGCTTTCATAAGACTATTGTCCCCAGGGTTTCCTTTCTAGCTCAAAAAATTTCAAAAACAACACTTCTGCAGCTCTAGTAATTAGGTTTTTTTGTTTATATAGAAGTAAAGCTTGTGGGCTACAATGGAACCTTCTATTCACCTTTTCTGAAGAAATGCTTGTGTCATGATACAAATCCATAATTTACTAACAGGACTGTATTTCCAATTATCAAGACTATAGAAAGAATGTGCCCCATTGTTGTAAGAATATGCTGTTAGGATTTAATGGTCCAGGAACCAAAAACTTACATATTCAGTTTTTCCTAGCCAAAGATATGGAAAAATAATATTAAGAAATCTGGCTTATAATTTAAAACTGCTCTGAGAAGTGCTATGTGTTTCTTGTATAATTAGGATTTTTATTTGGTTTGCCATAGCCCATGACTAGGGTGGTAACATCAGGTCAACAAAAGGCTGGAAGGACAGTCACTGCAAAAATCACCGGTCGTTCAGATTTTGCAGCAAAGAATCGTATTTGCAGTAACTTAGATGTCGTGGGTGTTTCTCCCCCCATGAATTCTGTTGTGGTAGAGAAACATCATCCCGTCACTCAGGTAAATAATGAGTTTTATGAATAACTTCTGCACTTGATGTCTCCTTTTAATTGGTGACTTTTGCTTTAGGATTTTTATCAGAGTTATTGTGGAAGTTCAGATTACAAATGCTTACTGAATTAATTGGTCTACTCTTCGGGATTACTGTAGTTTGTCTAGCATGTGATGGAATTCTATTTGTACTATTAGGCAGGTACTGGCCAATCAAGCAAACATTGTGATAGTAGATAAGGAACAGAAAATGGCACTAGCGATAGATGTAGCAGGGTTAAGTGACAGCAGCAAAATGGAGGAGGAGTATATAAAAGCTGAAAAAGTATCAGGGTCTGAAAGACGAATTAGAGAGGATTGGAAAGAAAAGACCAAAATGATCTCAGTATTGGTAGGAGCATTTGGGACTGGGACTCCTAAGCTAGGCAAATGGCTCCAACAGAGCCCAGAATCAACACCAGAACTTTCTGCCCAAAAGAAAGCAGTGCAAGAAACAGTTAAGATACTTCATAGAACCATCAAATTTCCTGCCTTTGGCCAAGGGTTCAAGATTGAAGAAGACACTACCATCCATAGGGAGAGAAAGGAATTAAGTATATATGAAAAACAAAGTTAGAAACTATAAAATACTGTTCATGTAGCTGCAAAACTCACCTTAAACTATACTACACCCATTTCCTAATAGCAGGTAGAACCAATCAGTCTTCTTCAACATTTGTCTTAAGCTCAAGAAGGATTTATGAATTTGGAAATAAATCAGCATTATCTGTATTGGTTTTTGGTACACATTTTTTATCTCTCGATATTCAAAATTATATATTTTGTAAATTTTAAGATTCATAAAAATAAATAGGAAGGAACCCCAAATAGTTTGTGTGATTGCTGGGAAGTCTTGAATTTGAATTGTCAGTTGGAAGCAAGAAACAGGAGACTGGATAGAATATATCTTAGTGCTCCAAAGCACTCTAAAGAAATTGTTCTGTTAACTGGAATATGGAAATAGGAACATATGGAAGGTGCCAAATTAGTTTTGAGGTTTTTCAAATGTGGTTAGAAAAAAATGCTGGTCTGGAATGTTTCCAGTTATTAAGGAGACTACGGAGGAACCAAGTGTCTGATTTAATATGAGAGAAATACCAATGGGGATAGTTGTTCTGCTTCCAGAGTAAACATATACTTCCATTTTCCTTGATTTTAAGTTTGATTTCCATGATGCAGATTAGTAAAGAGTAGCGTTTCTCAAACTCAGATGAGAACATAGGGAACTGGTGATGCAGTCTTCCTATTCTGTTTTTGCCAGTTAGATATTTTAAATGGAAGAGTTGAGCAGCAATTACTGGATGAAGAAGAAAGCCGACCCCCTCATGAATTTGCCCTCATGTCACAATTGATATTATAGGAAACAATTGAAAACTAAGGAAAAACATCTTCCAAGAGGGGCAAGACAAAAGAAAATGAATGGAACTTGTGGAAGCCAACAGGCTAGATACTTCATTTTAGGTCTGAATTAGAATTCGGCACTGAATCCCAACTAAATCTTAAGTATCTTTTTATTGTATAATGGTACACCAGAGTACAAGCACCACCTAAGGGAAGGCCTTTTTACTGCTGACCAAAATGATACTGTCATCGTGTGCCAAAATGCAATAGCATTTCCTCTGATTATCTTTAAAAATGGCTGGTTCTTCATCACAAGCTAAATAGAATTTTCTAGCTTCTTTTTGCTCACCTCATCTATCGTTTTGCTCACCTCACCTTTTGGTATATTCACAAATTTGCATGTTAATTAGTTTCTTTTCTGTCAGTTTCCTTTAAAATGATGCTGTAAAGAAAAAAAAATCAGAGAAAGCTTTTGAAAGCAAAATCTCTTCAATTCATTTTAAATAAACACATGTGGGCATTACTTTGTGACAGGTTATAGACTAGCATTACTTTTACCATCTGGGACCAGGCAAATTTTTCCTTGTTAATGTTCTCGCTGTTGATGGATTGAGTTCAGTACAGCAGGCCTAGCTTCCCTCATTTCTCTAGCTAGACGATGCTGGTTGTAGGATAGCCCCATGTTTGCTTTTCTCCTTGCTGTGATGTTTCTGTTGGGAGACTGGATGTGAACTCATGACTGTGTTTTCAAAGGCCAAAAGAAATTCCTTCCTCTTCTATGCTTCCATGGCAACTCAGCAAAGCACTTGAAACATGTACAGTACACAACCTTTATTGTTAGATCCAGCAAGACATGGGATTTACTAGTAGTTGAGGGCCGATGTTTTCATTTGAGAAGAATCCTATGCTCATTGGTAGATTTTCTACAAAAGAGCTGCAGCTATGTGAAAAGGCTGTAAATTTTGCATCTCTATGGGCTGACACATGGAAGTGTGGGAGATGGCTGCAATAGATTATTACCACTCCATTTCCAAATGAAAGCAGGGGATATTTGCTTCATTGCATAACTAGGTGCTAGTGATAATTACTTCTTCCTATAGCTGCAGCCACAAAACCCACATCTAAAATGGCCCAGAATGAGACAGAAAATCGTACTGTAGTGGGCTGCTGTGTAATTTCCCAGAGGACTTTTGATTTTTTTGTGGTGGTGGTTCCTTTTGGTTTCAAGAATATCTTGAGAAAAGCTGTTAATACAGATTCTCAGACTATCTAGGCTATAGTTTGTTGTTTTAAATGGGAGTGCTGGAACCTGTTCAGCGATATTATTTGACTAGACAGGTTTAACTGGTTTATTAAAAAAAAATGGGAGTGGCTTAGCAAAATCTGAGGGTATTGCCTGAGCTATGGAACAACTTCTGCAAGTCCTGGCCATATTTGTCCTTTGTGTTCCAATTTTTTTTTTATATTGTTAAAATTGGATAGAAAATAAATAATAACTTCCTTCTTATATCTTTCAGCAAACTGTATCTCAAGCTGTTGCTGCTAAATATCCCCGAACTGTGCACCAGCCTTCTAATGCTATTGGGGTGAGACATCTAGGACACAGCGGGAAAACTCCTGCCCACACTCACAACATTCAGTCAATAAAGGTAGTGGAGTAGGTTAGCTGGTTGAAATGCCTGTACTTTATTTTAAGCACATAGAGAAAATTTTCCAGGTTATTGTTTAAAATGTGCTCCCCGATGTTTGCAGATTAATAGAATAATAACCCGAGAAGCATCATGTTTTTCCTCTCAATAATATTGTACATATAGAGATATTTTGAAGTGTAAAAAGTGGGCCACTGAAGATGGCACAATGTAGTTCTGTGTAACTGCAAATAAGGTATACTTGAAATTTTCACTTTCTTAAACTTATTTTATTATATATGCTTATTTAACGTTTTTAATAAAAATGAAGCACTGAACTTGTATACTCTAAAAGGCATTTCTGCTTTATATGTGAATAAGAGCATAGATCATTTTGCCACATTCTGAATTGCTGTCTAAATTATCCATATAACCAGACTTTACATTCAGAATTTTGTTTTGGTTCTGCTATATTTTATCTTCAGCCATTCATAGAACAGGAACATTACAGAGAAATTTCATTTTGTCCAACATAAAAGTGGTTTATTAGTCTTACTTCACTATTTCATCGTATATAAATCTAAGGACTTATTGCTGTTGCTGTTTACTCCAGTTGTGTGTTTTCATTAGTAATATTCACTGACATCTCAACCCCATTTGTACTTTCACCAATTATTCTACAGATTCCTTCAGTGTAGCTTTTAAGAATGTATAATCCACCCCCCCCCCCGGGTGGTGGTGGTGGTGGGAAGAAATGTGAAATTAGTTATCGTAATACCCTAAATCTAGATGAATAAATAAACACCAACGTTTACATAAAATAACAGTGCTGTGAGTCTTCTCCATACTGGGAACAATATTTCCCATTGCAATTTGCAGTGGGACTATTGAAGATTTGCCGTTTTGTGTTCATGGATTTTATCTTTTAGCTCCAAAGGCTATTCCATCCTTGCTCTCTCTTATGCTACTGTAAGGAGACCTCAGTAAGCATAATGGAATGTCAGGACTGATGTCAGTCTTTAGAAGAAGACAAAGAAGCAGCAGTGAAGAAAGCAGAGGCTGCGGTGTGCTAATGATGCTAACTAGGATCTCTCAATCTGAGAGCAGTTGCCAGGATTCTTCCAGTCATATTGCCCACCCTAGTGATCAAATAGGGGTGCCAGTAGGGGAAAACAACCTGCTACATCAACTTGCTTCTCCCTAAGGTAATTCTTAAGTATATACATCACTTGTACACCTACTACTAAATGGCTAACTGCAGCATGAGAAGGTAATCTGGGTTTGTAAAATGGATGCAGGAGCTTAAGAAATAAAGCAGATGTACTGAAAGTGATCAGACAAGTACTATACTATGGATTGGGCCCTGTAGCTATTCAGACTGAAAAAGAAAATGCGATCGGGGTATATTTAGTCATGTTAGCACCTCAGATGCATTTTTTGGTATCTCAACTAAAAACATAGCTGAAGTTATTACATAAACAGTTCTGTGCACTTAAATCACTTTTTCTCGTTCAAATCTGAATTGCTTCAGCTGTATCATAAGTGTGTCTGTTCAGGACTAAACCATATTAACTGAGAAGTGTGTTGCTTGTTTGTTACATGCAATAATTGTTGATAAAGAGGCAAATGTGCTTTAAATTTATACTAGGAATACTAAATGCTGTGTTTATTTGCCTCAGATTCTTAATATAAGGTACAGTACATTATAAGACTATACGGTCTGCCTCAGGTTGAGCTTGGCTCCCGATTACCACACGAACACATCCATAACAATAGCATTAATTACTTTATCATTACCCATTGCATTCATACATACACACACACATACATGATACTCTCATTTGTGGGTGCAAAAGAAATAAATACTAAGCAAAATAAGTTTGAGGCAGAAAATAGGGAAAAACAAATACGTTTTCCCATATTTTCTATCCTTGCATGCCAGTTTTCTACCGCACCCATCCACCAATTCATACTGCTTCTGTCCATTAAACTTCAGGATCTCATCAATATCATCCAACCAAAATTCTTCTGCTTTTTTCCTCTAATTTTTTGTTCATGCATTTCTTTCTATATTCTACATTATTACTGGAAAAATGTGCCTAGGATTGCAATTTAAATATCTTATAATTACTATCTTACATTCAAGGATGCACTTTTTTTACTTGGTATGGCTGTCTGTCATATTTCCCTGTATAGATTTCTACTCAAATGGTCTCAAACACAAAGTCAAAGGCATTTGATTATGAAACGATAGTGCTTGAAGACAGAGTTTGTCTCATCCTTTAAATCCTACTTCATTTGTTTTGTTCATAATACAACATGCTACTGTTTTCACATGAGGATTTTTAGAAAATGCTTTATTTAAAATATCAAATATTAAAAAGAAGTATACTTGTGGAAGCAATCATTTCAAGAAATGTTTTATTCTGCAAAAAATTAACTGAGAGTATTATGTACAGATTGCATGGCAGAGTTGCAAATATGCCCCCAGGTGCAAGTGGATTCCTACAGGAATTATCAGCCATTCACAGGGAAAAAAAAAATCTATCATTGACTGAAATTATTTTCAAGCAGATCTTCAGCCACTGCCACATTCATTTCCCCACGGCTTTTGGAACCCAAGAAGTCACATAACCCCATATTCTTTTTCCACCTCCAAATTAGGTCACTCCTTGTGAGTGGGATACAGCCACTCAAGATTTTTAAAAATGAATCGGAAAGCTGGAAATTTCTGAATGGTGAATTGGGATTGGAAAGAGCCAATGGAGGTGGAGAAGTCCTAGTCAGCATGGGGATGGGGAGTTGATGGGGTGGGAGATATTATAGAAGTGGTGAGAAGATAAGCTTTCTTTATAGAGAAACATTGGAGAATTTGATTATAAATAATATTTTAATACTCATTTATTCTCCTATTTCATTGCTTCAGATTCCCTTGAATTTCATGAAACCGAGCATTTCTTGGATTCTGTGCCAGCATTATTTTCTGCTCTGAACTTTTCTGCAAGAGGATATATTCTTGTTAGAATTCAGAAAATACAACACGCCTTTAATCTTTTTGAGATGTAAATAGATTCAGACATAATATTCAAAGTTTAGTAGCCACTCAAGACCATCTGCTGCAATTTTAAACAAAATATACATGTAGCCGTTTAAAATTAAACTAAAATCATTACCGATTGATGAAGCTGAAACAAACCTGTCTCAAAATAAACCTGGCTTCTTTGCTTTTATTCTAGGAAGAAATTGGCCCGCTTACTACCACTTCGTTTCTTATAAGCTTACAAAGTCAACAGGCTTTTCAGTTGCAATTCTGTGCTTTCCTAGAAATAATTCCATCAAACACACTGAGCGTGGGTTTTGCCTAGAAATATATTCATAGTTATCCATAATTATATAGGTGGTCCTTAAATGACCGATTGAAGTTACAATGGCACTGAAAAAGGTAACTTTTCACACTTCTAACCATTGCAACATCCCCATGGTCAGATGGTTTACATTTGAATGCTTGATAGCAGGTTCACATTTATGTCAGTTGCAGAGTCCCAGGTCCTCTTTTGCAATCTCCTGACAAGCAAAAGTCAATGGGGAAGGCAGATTCACTTAACAACCATGTTACTAAGTTAACAATTGCAGTGATTCACTTAACAAATGTGGCAAGAAAAGTCGCAAAATGGGGCAAAACTCACAACAAATTTTTCACTCGGCAACAGAAATTCTGGCCTCAATTGTGGTCATAAGTTAAGGACTACCTGTATTTGCAGGTTCTTGTTTTATTTGTTAGAAAGTTTGATTATACTTCTGCCTGTCCAGCATACTTATGTTGCCTTTTTTTCCCTTAAAAGAGCATGTTCTTCTTCTCTGCATTGCCTCTCTATTTGATTTATATTTCCCTTTTATTCAGCAGCATACCCAATGCTCTCTCCTCCTATTTCCCTCCATAACAAACTCCCTGTGTGGTAGGTTGGGTGAGTAGCCTCAAGTCACCTAGTCATGCTGGCCTGGAGAACTCTGACAATTGAAGTCCACATGTCTTAAAGTGGCTAAGGTTGAAAAACACTGGTCTAGAAACTCTCCCTGTTTGAAATATGGAATCTCCTGGCTTTTACCATAGCAAGCTATTCTGCTGGAGCAGGACTGGATAATAAGAACTAGGTGAATGATGTCATTTGGTTCATCATGTGGAAACAAGCTGCTTCAAGTGTTTTTAAGGGGCTTCTCACTAAAAAAGTATTGTTTGAAGACCCTTTCAGGTAAGAGCATGCCTGTAAATCTGCTCTCTGTAATCTAACTTTCTTTGTCCTGAATCTTTTCCAAAAGGGAAAGGTGAACTACTCTAACAGGCTCTAAGTATGATGCTTACAACAATTGCTCACCAGCCAGTTGTGGAAATCCCATGCTTATCAGATCCTCATATAAATGTTTAATAGGATTCTGGCCAGCTATCAGAACACCATGTAACCAGATAAGAAACATTCTGTATCCATGTTCCTTGTAGCTCTTTTTCCCTAGAGGATAATATACGAAATGTTAGTCTACTGTTTGGAGAAATGCTTCTATGTCACATTTTGGCTGCAAAGGTTTGTTTCAAGAGTTTACCCTAAATTCTTAAACTTTTTTGTTGGAAAGGGAAGGTGGAAGAGATTAGTAGGGGTACAGCATAATGAAAATCAAGCCTATTAAGCCCCTTGTTCCCTCCACTAATTCTTAAAGGGAAATATGAAGAGATCTACTACTATAGAAATTGCAAAGACAGAAATGTTAAGGACGATATTACACAAATGAGACATAAAAAACTGATGACATTAGTCTTTTTTTATATTAGGAGTCTGTTATTCAGGGGCCCCCCTCCACCTCACCACATTAGCAGTCAAAATGTTATTTCCTTAATTATTTTTGCTATCTAGGATGAAAGTTATGGAGATTCTGTATCTTTCTGTGGGTGAGACAGTGGCTTTGGCAAGTATGATTTTGAGAAAATAATAACAGGAACAGAAAGGATTAAACAGCTTTGGTGTTCCCATCTACAGTTGGATATTCATTTGGGGAGGGTTCTATTGCCCCTCTCCTCATAGTTAGGTATTTTAGTGCTCTATGGAAACAAAACAAAAATAGTTATTTTTCATATCAGAAAGTGTGCTCCGGGGCAGTAGCTAAAGTTTAAAATACCAACAATATAAAATAATAAGCTTCTAAGCTGTCCCACAATATTAAATAGGACAGAATTCAACCAGCTGAAAGATGTACAAAGGACATCAACATATAAACAAAATCCTGGGGCAATCAAAACATTTTATTTTTTAGTTAAAACTGAATCGCCTTTGAAAGATCAGAGTATGTTCATGTCATAGAAAGCACCTCTTCCTAATGCATTTATCTTACCAAAGCACTTGGAGAAAGGCCTCCTCTTAAGATATAAATAAAATATTGTAGGTTTAAGCTGGTCTGGGGAATCAATAAATACAGGTGCTGAAAGGACAATCAGTTGGGATGCAAAGTAGCTTTTTTTAGATCACAGTCAAAGGGAAAAGTCTGTATTCTGTTTTTATCAAGCGATAAAGATGCTTTGTCTGTTTTTATCAGTGGAGGTTCCTAGATCTTCAACAGTAAAGGAGGAATAGTCCTCCTATAGTGTTTTTATGCCTAGTCCAATCCTATAGTTGAAGAGTAATCAAGTAGAAAAAAAAAAGTTTTTCACATATTGTAATGGAATGAGGTCCCTATTTCATATATACTAATTGGATGTTTATGAAATCTTGATGAAGGAATATAATTGTCTAGGGCAGGATTGTCAAACTCAAGGCCCAGGGGCTGGATCTGGCCCATGGGGTGTTTAGATCTGGCCCATGGGGCCGCTCTGGAAACAGTGAAGGACTGGCCCGCGGTGTCTCTGCCAGTGAAAATGGAGCTAAGAAGGGCCACACATGGCCCTCCCGAGCTCTGTTTTCGCTGGCAGAGGGTTGCAGGAGGCTGTGGCAGCCGAAAACAGAGCTAGGGAGCCTGTTTTCTCTGGCAGAATGCTTGGGCCACCACAGGTGACCTCGACATGAGTGATGTCGAGCTGGCCATATACACCTTGCCCCCCGCCAAGTCAAGCACAACACTGATGTGGCCCTCAATGAAATCAAGTTTGACACCCGTGGTCTCGGGAGATTCTCAGTCATCCAGGTTGTAGTTGTCTCAAAGGTGCTTTTTCAAAAGGCAACTGAAGTGCTTTTTGAAGAAGTAGATTTGTTTCTCATCCAAGAAGCTTCATCAGTTGTGACTGGATGGTGGCGGGATAAAAGTTTACAGTAAGTATTGACAGTTGACACTAAATGGTGGGAGGATGGAAGGATGGGTTCTGACAGGATGGTGGAGTGGGAGTGGAAGGATTGTATTTCTTTGCAATCATCTGGATGTTGGCACTCTCTGGGAGAGCTTTGAGGCCGCTTGGGGGTTTCTCTGTCCTCAGGGTCACCTGAATCAGAATACAAATGGTTGTGGAATCTTCTTGGAACTTTTGAAAGGACTCCATTGTAGATAGGTAGTTTGAAAGAGGGTAAAAGAGTCCATCTATGTTAGAACTGAACAGTCCTCCATCAATAGAGTGGGAGGTATATGACACCACCTATCGCCTGTCTGCAATGCAGTCCTGGCTTGTTTGCAGCAAAAACTAAAAGAATCATCAATTTCCAAAGTGCCTTTTACTTAATGAAATGTAAATATTGAAATAGATACCTGATATAACATATACTGAAAACTGAGCTTGGATAGTGATGAAGCTCATAAAGGTGGGGTCTAAAGTGCCTTGAATTTTGATTGGCCTTTGTGATATACACCTTTAAGAAACTTCACAAAATGAAAGCTATAGTGACAGTCTCATTAAAGCTGAAAGGAGGAGGATTTTTAATGACCTTAAGTCCTAGTCTCTTTAATACATTCAACATACTATAATGAAATTGCATTTTATTTTTCTTTAAGCGCACATACAATCACATATCAATTTTTCTATGTTAGCAACAACATTTGCAAGAATATCCAGTAGTTATTCCGATTTTCTTCCCTATTCAATTCTTTTTAAAAAACACTCCAAGGATTGAGATTTATAAAGAAAGAAATCTCTCTCTCTCAGAAATACCAACTTAGATTTTAGTTAAGTTTCCTGTATTTGGAATGGGAACACGTTTTTTTTTTAAAAAAAAAATTCAGCAAGTTACCTGTCCACTGTTCTTCTATTGCTTTGATTTGTTCATTTGTAAACTTCCAAAACTGTGCCAGTTTTACCCATTCTCGCATTTTTAACCTATTATATGCTAGATTCCAAAGAGACGCACGGAACTGTTTGGTCTGTATGCTGTGATCTTGTTTAAAAGATACACTAATATTTGACACATCGTTACAGTGATGCTCCTGCAAAGGAAATTTCAGAGATTAAATCATGTATTCTTCAATAATTGCTTTCACTCTCAAAGAACTACAATATTTGGATATTCTAAATATTTTACAAATGTTAATAATGTAGATACATGTTTTTCTTTCCTTCTGTTCAACTATGTCCAATTGAATTATGTCCAACAAGATTTTTCGGAAATAGTTTACCATTGGATCCTTCCCAGGACTGAGAAAGTAACTGGCTCAGGTGCCAAAAGCAGGATAGAACTCAGCTTTTAGCCTGATGTTTTAACCATTATGTCAAACTGGCTCTCTAGGTATTTGTACTGAACATCAAATCCTTCAGAGGTATTCATTTCTTCAGTTTTATATGCCTCGTTCACCAGGCTCTGGCTGATGTATCTTGGAGTACTAGTAAAAGTAGAGGCTCAACAATGCTGAAGTCTGCTCAGTCAATCGATTTATTACTGTCTTAGACCAGAGGACTAGAGGAAAGGGGTCACGGTGGCTCACATGGTAAGCATCTGGTCCTGCATACTGCTGAGTTCGGCAGCTCAGCGGTTCGATTCCTGTGAGTGAATAAACCACATAGGGACAAGAAAGGAGCCTCCCCCAAATGCCTACTGGCATTCAGGCGTCCCACGGGTGAAGATAACATTGCCTGAAAAAAATTGTTTCACAGAGGCAGCCAGCCACCTTGGTGATCCCTGCCTAACACATGCCATACACTAAATAAATAAGACCAGAGGAAATTTGCTCACAAGTCATGCTTTGGGACTTTAAAAAATACATGCAGTGTACTCTGCTTCCCCCAAATTGTCCTACTTCTTTTATATATTATCTGCACAAAGTTATTTTCCACTGATAAGGAAATATCTTATAACATCATAGGGAATATATTGTGGAAGTGAGCTCTCCCTGTTTGCCTGTAACAAACATTTATAGAGAGGCACTTTCTTTGCTCAAAAATCAATTCTTATTTTCTTTAGCCACTCTTTGTAATGAAATATCATTTTC